TTTTTTCATCACTCGCCATTGCCATCTATGCTGTAAAATACTGAACATGTACAGTAATCCCTCGTTTATCGCGGGGTTTACGTTCCAAAAAGAACCAGTGATAAGTGAAATCCGTGAAGTAGGATTTATTAAAAAAAAAAAAAAAGCCAAAAAATATGAGAGGGACGAAATATCAAATGTGCTTTACATACAGCACATACAGGCCAGCGATCCCACGGCGTGCAGCCGATGTGTTAATGATTCTACGATTGAGGATGGAAGAGACACTGCTGCTTTTTTTCTTATCAGCCTTCTCTCTCTCTCTCTCTCTCTCTCTCTCTCTCTCTCTCTCAGCCCCACACACACACACACACACACTGATCAAAGATCAAAGAGTAACCCACGTGATAAGACAGAAGGGAGGGTGCTGGGCTGAGAAGATGCAAAGCCATGTTGATTGCCTATGCATCTCCCCCCCACCCCACGTGGGATAGAGAAAACCCACGCAGGCCCAGGGAGCACATGCAAACTCCACACAGGGAGGCGGGAGCTGGAATTGAACCCCTGCACTGTGAAGTCGACGTGCTAACCACTGGACTACTGGGCCACCGACATAAGTATAATTTTTTAAAATTGTGCACAAAATGAACCGTGCATGACAGTCACACGTTGACTGCTGAGCGAACGAAATTTCCTGCAGCACTGATTGGACAAGCAATGTAATGTGATCATCTGCAGCCAGTGATGGCTAAGCGGGCGTGTCATAACTAATTGACATGTTGAGTTGGTATGTCTTAACCACCGGTTGTGGTCTGAAACTCAAGTGGCCTAAGGGAGCAGAGTTCTAAAGGCCACTGGACAGACTAATAAAATGGGTGTTTCATTGGATGTTTAGCTACAGGCTGAAAGGCAAACTTACCAAGAAGAGGGCATCATCAATTGTTGCAGTAAAAATTGCATAAATAGGTTTAAACAGGATCCGTTATCAAACTGGATCATGTACTTTCTGTTATCCATAACATCCATCCATCCATTTTCTGATCCGCTTTATCCTCACAAGGGTCGCGGGGGTGCTGGAGCTGTCTTGGGGCAGTAGGTGGGGGAGACCCTGAACCGGTTGCCAGCCAATCGAAGGGCACACGGAGCCAAACAACCATTCACACTCACAATCACACCAAGGGGCGATTTGGAGTGTTCAATCAGCCTGCCATGCATGTTTTTGGAATGTGGGAGGAAACCGGAGTACCAGGAGAAAACGCACGCAGGCACGGGGACAACATGCAAACTCCACACAGGGAGGCCTTCGCCAGAATCGAACCCTGAACCTCTGCACTCTGAGGTCACTGGATCAACCATAACAATCCTGGTTAAAACATCAAGTCCTTTGTTAAAATGGGGTTGTTGGTTTACCAAACCAGGTTATTGTAACTGTGTAAATGGACCAAAGTTCGTACTGAAGTGTAAAGTGACCAGAGCAGCTGGTTTCCTCCTCCTCAGAGTTGGAAATGTTTACACTGCAGCTGCTCAAGTCATTGTTACTCAATATACTGCAACGTTTACCAAACACGACAGCGTAATCCTGCACCCGCTCCTTTGTCACTTCACCTGTATTAGTTCAACACCGTCAAAGAACAATGCACTTTCTCATTCATCTCACGGGAAACCACACTCAAATATTGGTTAGTTCAGTTAGATCTTT